GTTTTGAATTTTGGCATTGCAATCATATTTTTATATCGAATATTCAGGTTATGGATGTCCGTACGATATGTGATTTTCCTATGAAGATATGAATGTTTTTTTTTTACAATTATTTTATGGAAAAAATAGACAGCGTGAAGTAACCTTCATTTCTCCATGTTCTGCCATCCAATTTCTTGAAGCTTATATGAGATCCTGTGTCGCCGACCAATACCAAAAATTAACCTAAGGCACGAGTTTTGAACTTATTTTTGTATTGATTGGTTAAACATGGGCCATAAAGAACATCCGCATAATTGAAAACTGAAAGCACCAAAGATTCACATAAGGACTTTTTCACAAAATAAGGCAGAACATTTTGGTCACCATAAATGATTTTTCAGTGCAGAATAGGCACGTTGTAAGAGTTTATTTATGAATTTTTCAAATCTCAGATCTACATCCATCAAAACACCAAGATTTTTTGCTTCACTAGCAGTATCTAGTGGCTCATTTCGAATGCAGATATTCGCATATATTCACTATGGAATGGTGCAATCTTGGACCAAAAATCATAACACCCGATTTACTAGGCTTTATAAATAAACGGTGGTCTATTGCCAATTCAACAATTCTATTTATATCTGCATTGATAATGTCACAAACATTGTCTGCCATTTTCGCCGGAAAGGTGTGATATACTTGAGTGTCATCAGCGTATAAATGTACCTGACAAGTATGAAGAGCCTGTAGTATGTTAGATGTATATATAGAAAACAATAAAGGGCCGAGTATGGATCCTCGAGATACCCCTGATTTGAGATATAAGATATCTGAGTTGTATTCCTCTATATACTAACCGATTGCTGTTTATTCTTCAAATAGTCCGTCAATATAATGCAAAAGTGTTGGCAGAAAAACCATTATAATCCAAAATGCTTGACAAAAGATTGGCTGAAATCTAAATCATAGAGAGTTATCTTTTTTCTTCGTTTCTTCCCTTGTCACTATTTTGATAATAATATAAATCTTGAACTGGTCCAATTGAGGAAACTACTAAGCGTGTTGGAAATAAAAGTCTATATTGTGAAGATTTGTAGTTTAATTGATTTTCACCAAATTTACTTTTTAATTCATAATAAATTTATTTTGGCTATAAACACTCTCTCCGTGTATACTTGCGTGCATACTAAATACATATGTATTAAGCATCTGAAGATTCAATTTCTCAGATAATTTAAGCAGCAGACATAATACGATATGAGTTGTCTTTTTTGGGTTGGGGGCAAGGGGCGATTCCTTAAAATGCATTATATAGTTGACAATTTCAAATCGCATATCATTTTGTTATAAATTCTAATATCGTGTTGCAGCAGTGGAATTTCCTCTAACTTTAAGTAACGTCACTGTTAGTACAAGCGTGCATGGCTATTTTTAGTCGGAATTTTTCTTTGTATAAAGCGAGATTTCGATCTGTGAGTTGTAAAACTAGAATGTTGCATTCAAATCAGATTCAAATGGTTTTCCTGGATTTCAGTGGGAGTGTGGTCGTTTATAGGTTCATATGTGTTCTCAATGCCTTTTTTCCACTAAATATTTGTAAAAGCATGAGTAGGTATAGCAAGAGTACGGTTCGAAATGTAAAAGTACATTTAAAACTTTTACTTTCCGAACATTAAAATCAAGATTGAGAAACCAATTTCTATTCGGGACACCAGGAGAGCGTTTATTGTCTCTTTATCAGAAACTACAATTTTTATCTAATTAGAATATATTGATAGATGTGAACGAAACATGTTACTACCTAGAAAAGTGAGATTGAAATGAAGTTAACAAATGTGTAGCAGAGACGATCCTCATTCATCATATTTGTATGTCAGGAGTAAAATTGATTACAAACGTATGAAATTATGAAACAATTATGTAACGATGATTACCATGATAAAATGAGTATGAAATTTACAACTAACAAGTTGTCAGATATTTTTGTATCAACCTGAAATTTGACAGAAAAAGTTTGAGAGCATTTTTTATTCTGACCACCAAGTATTGCCAGTGAGATCTCACAGAAAACTGAATTGACATACCATCTCAGAATATGAAGGACTCAAATCCTTACCTCTCATATCGTATATAATATCGTATCGTATATAATGAAAAAAATCTGTGGATATTTTTTTCATTATTGAATTCAGTCTTCATCTAAGTCACATTTGTTACAAGCGAAAGAAATAGTATTTCCTGTGGCACATCTCACATGTGCACACATCTTACAAAAGATACATTCTACCCAATCGCCTTTTTGAATCCCTGTAAGCTTTACCACATACTAGGCAATAAAAAGTATCCAGATTCTGAATCTAAACATAAAATATTGTTTTCTTTCATATTTGTCATCTTCCAAATAACTATAGACCACTCGCTTTGCTATCAGTGATATCAAAAATCATGGAGAAAGCCGTAAACCATCATATCCTTAAATATTTGAAGGGCTTCAACACCTTGAGCGATCATCAATGTGGCTTTCGGAAACAGGCGAGTCAAGAGCTGTTACACTTGATATTTTTAAGGCCTTTGGTCCACTCCAGTCTATTGAATAATTTGTAAAAATTTGATTTGAAAAATACTTCACTATTGTCCTCTATAATATTTTCGGATACGGTCTCAGGATTCAAATTAGTTGAAACTAACGGCCCACCTCTGTAACACACGACAAATCATGATTGATAGGCAAATTTTTTATAACTTGGGTTTCGTAGAGATATCTCATGCTATTTGATTTTAGTTTTGATAAAATACGGTCATGTTATTATTCATCGATAATATAGCTTGCTATAGGTGCAAGTATTTTTAAAATCATTAGAGTAGTTTTTGAGTTACAAACAAATCTTTTTATATCAGTTTAGACTAAATTTTGAGACATTCATTTTGGTTAATATATATCAAATCCAAAGTCATGTCAAATAATTTTTCTTTCTTCAAAAATTATTTTTTGTTTTCAGTGCCATTTTGCTGCTTTTCGGCAACCGGTCCCAAGTAATGATTCCAGGTAAGTTGAAAATTATATCCCTATTAGGGAGTCACAACCAGTGACGTTTTCAGGATGTGGTCTTAGAGGGGAATCCGTATGCGTCATACGAAATGAAAACTATCGGTGGGAGCTCTATTTCCTGTGCCCAAACCCCTTTATTTCAATTCCGAAACGTTACTAGGGTATGATTTTCTGTGCTAATACGGATTCTTTTTTGCATGAAACCCGATGGAAATGTTACATCTAAAGCTAAAGTCTCAAACGTATTCTCAATACATACCTCCGAATAGTCGTATTGTCCTTATTGTTATGTGGAACAACAAGGTACGAGTATTATTCATTTGTCATGAGAAGTGGAATTCGTTCTGGAAAACGTTTTCCAAATTTTCCCTTTGTAGGAAGCCACATGTGGTGCTGGCAGTTATCGAACCAATAATTCACTTCAGGCGATTATACGGAACAATTCACATTGAGCTTTCCGTCTTTATGTTTACTGGTTTCCATTTCGAATAGCGGTTATAGAATGTTATTCCCTGCTTGAAAAATCTTCGAGAACTGAAGAAGCGATGACGGCTTGTTATACCTGTGGCATTGTTTCTAAGACCTATTTTATGCTTGCGATTTTTGTCGTCACATTGCGACAAAAATCGCGGCGTTTTCAAATAAAATAAAAATGGCACTTTTCTTCAAGCTTTATTTTCTGTCGCGTGTCAGCGTCAAACAAAATCTATTGAAATATACTCTAATATTTAATAAATCGAAATAATATTTTCTCATCAATGGACGAAAGTGGGCGTGTCTTGCGCAAGCCAGAGTACCCGTTTTAGGACGTATTTCCAACCTTCTGGGAAAAATATAAATATTGGTCCTACAGTTCCGGGAGAAAGGCTTTTTGTTAGGAAATTTGGTTTCCTTTTTGAATTCCTTATCAAATATGAAAAATGTCGAATAGTTTTCGAGATATTTGCAAAAAAACAAACCTCATTTTCCAATTGTTTATAACTTTTGCAATATTTGCAAGTAGCACTTGAATTTTTTCAAGGGATCCACAGGGGCTCTACTATATACAGTCCATTAAGAATTGAGACGAAATGATAATTTCTTTAATTATAGCCGTATCGTATGTTGATAGTCCGCTTTGATGAGCTATGTAAAAAATACTCTAATGAGAAATATGGAGTTAGTGCAAGGCTTTGCATTTGAATCGGAACAAATGAATGTTATATATATCATACATATGATGTATGTTCAGAAAATAACGGAAATTTTTGAATTTCATGGGTTTGGCGAGCCCGATTATCAATTTTTTTCATTATGTTGGTGTACATGCCCCTGAAGTATGATAAAATTTTCAACCGTATTCATTGTTCACTTTTGTCTGTAGCAGCCGCCACACACAAGAGGTCGGCGATTTGTATAGAATTTTGCATAAAAAATTAAACTAGTCTGCTATAATAAAAACAAGGGTTTGCGAGGGGTTTAAGCGTTTCTAAAATGACCAAATCGCAATCAGAGAAATCGCTGCTCTTCATGGCTCTTCTTCACTTTCCAAGAATAAAGAGAACTTTGAAGAGCAAGAGTATATAGAGATGCAATAGAAACTGAGAAACACAGGAATAATTTCTAAGAAGAAGAAGAGGCAATGAACATTAATAAAATATGGCTAACTGTCCTTAATCGTACACATATATGGACAGGTAATCCAATTAGGGGAAACCAAGTCATGCCCACCAATAATAATATTAAACCGGAGTTATATTCCAGCATTATGGTTTCTTCGTTGGGAACAACAACGCGAGCATTTCAGCCGTTACATCATTGCCTTTGATAGTGTATACCGCAGTCGTAGACAAAACATCAGATATAAAAAGCTGCAGACCATGGCCCAAAAAACCAGAAAATAGCTTCAATTTAGTTATCTCCGGTCGTGAAAGTTGACAACCTCTGAATGATATTTGTTTGGGCTTGTTTTTATATTATCGAAAACTGCTAAAAAACTGATTGGAGCAATCTAAAGAAGTAAAATAAAATTTAGAAAGAATAGACAATTAGAAAATTTGAAAGAAACCTAAGCAAAGATTCAATAAAATTGAATTAAAACGAAGTTTTCATAAATTCAGTGGAAATATTACAAACAAAAAGTTATTTTTTTCAACTCTTGATTGACCAATTCAAATTTCTCATTTGATTGATCGAAATTAATTTTTTGAATTGTTTCGATACGCTTTTTGGCAGGTTTAAATGTAGTCGAACAATATAAACTTTCGACTTTCAAACTGTGATGTTCGAAAGGGGCAATGAAACACAGGTTGTCATTACACCCTTATATTACACCCTCACTTTACAGTGCCGAAAACAAACATTAATTGTGGGGCTTACCACAATACATTAGTGAAAACTGTACCAAAATCGGTTGAGCCGTTTTTGAGATTAGCGTTCATAGGCAAACAACATACAATTTTTCTCAAATATCTTCCATGTACAGTAGATGGCAGTAGCTTTTTCTTTGTACACTTGATACTTAGTAGTGTCGATTCGTCTCTCAGATGGCGACTGTCACACACGATTTCTTAAGACTCACAAGTGTTAATGATATACCTATCATGAAAACGAAGCCACTTGTCCATTAGTTATTGGACCCTGTGGGATATATTGTTGAGACACCTTGTAAACCTTGCGGTGTGCCCTTTTGGTTCAAATGTCCCTTAGCTGTAAAAGGCTGTCAAAGAACTATTGGAGAGCTCGTCATTTTACATACGATTACTGCCTGAAAATTCTAAAGCCAGCTCAGTAAAGTTGGCTCTGGAGTAACAGGACTTCGGGATCACACGTAATCGTAAGTTCTCCAGTGTGTGATTCCAGGACTGATTAGCCAGAGCCTCAAGGGAAGAGACTCGGTGTTATATCCTGTGGAGTTCTCTTCAAACATAGTTTTTTCTGATTTTTAACTGTGTATGACATGAAATTCTCAAAATGTTCATTCCACGAATACCAGTTTACTTTCTTTCATGTGACCAAGCGAATTGCTTCTAAATATTTGTCTTCGAACCCTAAATTTTTTGGCATCAAGAGACCAAACAAATACATTCAAATTTGTCACTGGTGGGTTAATTCATTTCAGATTCAAAAAGTTCCGTATTTTTTTATGTAAATCATACATACGTATAATAATTGTGTAACTAATCGCTGCGTGTTTATCTTGGCGGTTTTTTTTGTTTTTTTTTTTGTATCTTAGGAGCTGTCTGACTTGTCCATTTAGTACAAGTCTCCAGAAAACACTGCAGCCTCTTGAGCTCATTGCGTTTATTCTCCCATCTTATCATGACACCCATTCCATCAGTCTCGTTCCCTGTTCTAGTTTGTACAGGTTCCGTGTTGGATGTTCGTCATATTCTTCTGGGTATAATTTTGTACGTCCATATATTGCCTGCCTCCTGTGATTCAGTTCCTCACATTCGCATAAGATGTGTAGAGCTGTTTCTATCCCTTCGTTGCATAATCTGCAGCTGAGGTCTCCGTTGTACAGCCCCATTTTATTCAGATGTCCTCTAAGCGGACAATGACCGGTTAGTAACCCTGTTATTATTCTGAGCCGATCCCTACTATATTGAAGTAGTTCTTCGGTTCTTTTCTCGGACTGTTCCCTAATGAAGGTTATATTTTTCTTTCTACTGTGTTTGTTGCCAGGTACTTTTGTACAGTACTCTGTGTGCTTTTTATTGGTCCATGTCCTAATCTGGTTTCGTACTAATGATTTTGGTACCCCCAGAGCTGGTTCAGGACCTATATATGAAGTTGATGATCCGCGTCTAGCGCAATCATCAGCTTTATCGTTACCTGTGATTCCTGAATGCCCTAGCACCCAGTACAAAGTTAATTTGTTCCTGTTTGCAAGTTCATTCAGTTCTTCATGGCATTCCCAGACCAGTTTTGATGTCACCTTTGGGTTTGTCAGAGCCCCTAGTGCGCTCTTGCTGTCTGTAAAAATATTGATCAGCTCATTTCTTTGAGGTCTTAATTTAATAAGCTTTGCATACTGCAAGATAGCATACACTTCCGCCTGAAAAACGGATGTGTATAGTCCTAGCGGATAGCTGTAGTTTAGATTTCTATCCGCTCGGTATATTCCAGCTCTCGTTCCATGTTTGGTCTTCAATCCATCTGTATACCAGGTGTTTTTTCCAAAAATGTTTTCAGGATGACTATTGTTCTTCCACTCTTCACGGCTTATGATTTTGGCCGTGAAATTTGTGTTAAAGGTGTACTTCGGTGTCATGTGGTCCGTGCACATATTCAATATGTGCTCCTCCACTTGTTCCGAAATTTCTGTTCGGTCCGATCTTTTGTAATTCGGTGAGTTTTCCAGTCTGAATTGGCCCATCCTGGCTGTGCGTTAGAGCGCGCTTATCTCAAAAACGGTCTAACAGATTTTGGTGCGGTTTTCACTAATGTATTGTGATAAGCTTCAGTGAACATTTAGTATTTGATTTATTTCCATCGATTAATGAATAACAAAAATACGTTTAACAAATCGCTGTCTGTACGTTTGTACGTGCTTGTCTCGAAAACGATTTAACTAATATGCGAGCGGTTTTCAGTAATCTATTGAGGTAAGCTTCATTGAGTGTTCTATTTATTTCAATAAGTTGATGAATAAAAAAGTTGTCAACTCAAAAAAGCACGTCGAACAATTGTTGGAAAGAATACTGTAACAAATCTGTTCAGTTAATTTGGCTGAGACTTCCATGAACTATATTTGTATTGCAGTAAAATGATTTTCTTATGAATCAAAGACAGGCAAATACTTGGTAATTTTTTGCTGTCAGTAAATGGGGAAAAGCGGAAAACTGAAATCGACGATAATGAAATCGCGGCCACCAGCTAGTTCAAATTTGTTGAGAGTAAAGTGAAGGAACTAAAATGGTTATTTCTTTCTTCTTTCCCACATTGTTTGTTTGAAGATGAAGAAGTAGAAAGCCAAAACGCTCTTTACCAAAACGTGTAACTTTTTTTATAGT